TTTGCCAAGGAGTTTATCTAATTGGGACAGTTCTTCTGTCAGGATAGAAACTGATCATTGTCATTATGTATGTAACAAAGGTTATGAGAATTAAATGGAAGCAAACAGAAAGTGGATTATTCTTAACAGTGAAATCTCTGTCACTATACATTTGGGTTGTCCTTGATCTAAGTACACTGTAATATTTGATATGTGATATGGCTGGAGCCAGTGAAGTCTCCAGCGTGCATGATGTAATGCTGTGAGATTTGATGATTTAGCAAGCTGTGTGTATAAAATGCTCCTGAAACTGTTATTCTGGGCCGACTTTCTGACGAAATTTCGATAAAAACTGTTTTCATATCTCATAGTTATTTAATACATTTTTAAAGAGTATTAGCCAAGTGATCCCTTCTCAAGGCAAGGTAAAGCAACTTTCTTTGTATAGACCAATTCAGTACATGGACAATTCAAAGTGCTTTTCATGAAAATTAAAAGCACAATTACATTTGAAAAGCAAATAAAAACATTGGACCACAAAAAAAGTAGAATAAAAGCAAGTAAAAAAAAAAACACAATAAAAGCAGTAAAGAATAAAATAAAACTGTTGGATCACAACCATAAACTAATAATACGGCAGTTAGCTGTTTACTTTTTTTTTTTTACTTTGACTTAAAAATCTCAGGATTTCAGCCCCTTTTCAGTCCTTTGGGAGATTGTTCCAGAGAAGTGGAGCATAGGAACTAAATGCTGCTTCTTCATGTTCTAGTTCTGGGTGGACAGAGTAAGCTTGAAATAGAAGAGCTCTCTCATCTTATCTGCTAAGTTCCACTGTTCTGCTGTAATGTTCCGTTGTTTGCAAGGATTGTCAGTGCTTTTTAACCTGCTCTAAAAGAAAGAAAAAAATAACTTGACCGTTAACTTGTTCCAAAATGCACTTTTTCTAAGATAGGAACAAACCAGAGAGGCACACAATGCTAATGATTTAAGAAACCATCTCATCTGCTAATGTTCCACTGGGATTGCTTTGCCTGTTACTCAACATAACCAACCAGAGTTTTTCTTGGATCTTCATGAATGATAGATGTTTTTGTCCATTTATATTTCAATTAATCCCAAAGCAAGTAATTCCATTTTCTGTATCCCAGACTTATAAAGGTCTAGGGTGAGGAAAGGGTAGGATGCAGAAAATAACTGTTAATTTCTCTGCAGACCCCAAGCATCCTGTACTTTTTCAAATTTAGGTTAGTGCAATAACAGGCCCCCACAAACAGAAAGTTTCTATTTCCTTGGCTTTCAATTTGATGAGCACTTAACAGTCCCATAGTGCTCATATTGATACCAAGCATAAGTATTTTTTTTCTCTTTTGTAAAAGCATCTATCTATCTATCTATCTATCTATCTATCTATCTATCT